GTAAAATTTGTTACAGCAAGACATAAATAAAAATAATTTAGTGCGCTCAGGATGAAAGTGCTAAAGGGATGTATAAATAAAACTGTGTACTCAAATGGTATTGTAATACTAAAATATTTATTGTTATGTTAAATATTTACTTGCAAAAAAAGTTTATGTAAACTTTTGTATTTTATAGTACTGAAGAGGGACCTTTTTTAGAAAAGGACCGAAATGCATCTATAGTAATAGAATAAAGTGAAATCATTGGCTAAAGCTGTGTGATAGTCTACCGCCAATATTAAAATTTACATTTTAAGTGCGGATTTGCAAAGACTTTACGATATATATATAACAGCAGTCATAAGAAATTTAATTAAAACTTGTTAGTTAAATTAATATGGTCTCGTTTTTGAACTCAGCTCTACGTCAAGTCTTATCACTTATCCGCGTATCCTCTCCACTAGTGGAATAAGTCCTCCTACTTTAATTTATTCACTATCTCATATCGTGAGTTAAACCGCGATTTAAATAATAGTTTAACTAGTGTCGGGAATCCTGACTATCGATCGGGATTTTACGATCTTTGATCTAAAACATCCTTTTAAAGCCATCCAAAGACAACGATTAAGTGGTACAGATTTTATTTATCTACCCCGGCCCCTCACAATAATAATAAAATATAAAGGATAAGATATTTTTTTACAAATGCAAAGTCAGTCGAGTATAAAGGCAAATGGCCTTTATAGATGAATATCTTTTCGATATCTAAATTTATCGAAGTGTCCATTTTCTAAGAAATTGCTTTAGATACTAGTTAAAAAGTATTTTTCATACTTCACATTTTGCCAATAGTAAAATTTAAGATCGATGTTGAAACTTTTGTTAAGTTGGAGTCGGTACCGACTCAGGTGACTCCAACTTAAAAAACTGATTTTTACTACTGTAAACTATAATTGTCAACGAAACTGTCGATGATATAATCTTCGTCGAAGTAAATATCATCTTATTACAGTAACAAATTCGAATTCGAATATGCTTTTGACCCTTAGGACTTTTTATTGGTAATAATTACCTGTTACCAATACATCATCGACGTTAATCGACCCCATTGCAAGTCGAATATTTCTGTAATTGAGACTGACAAACGCAGTCCACACCATGCTACATGCCTAACGTTAACCAATGATATCAATATAATTTGCAAATTCGTGCTGTTCATAAAATCGTACTTTCGCCCTGAGCATCATCTAATCACGTAATCTACGCTTTGATACAAGTTACTATAGTAAGTGCATCTTATCTATAATTAATTAATAACCTCTTATGGCTATGTCGATATATTTACTTTATAATCAATAATTATCCTGATAATTTGTAATAAACGGTATATATATATATATAACGGTATATATATATATACCGTTTATAATAAATTATAAAGTATATATATAAAACCATACATTGAATCTTTTATTTCCAATTTCCATAAAATTCTTTTTAATATATAGCGTTACTGAAGAGGGGTTACGATATGTTAAGATAAACGGAAATGCATCTAACAGTAAATAATAAAGAAAACACACAAAGAAAATAAAGATTAAATTCTAAAGTTGTAGACCGTTGATTCATCGAAAAAGCCATTAAACACATGTATCTACTGTACGTGTAACTGAAACAATATTAAATCGGATTACTATAAAAAAATAATTCTAAAGCAGAAATTTAGAATTCTCTTATTTTATATTAATTTACAATTTACATTTACATACTTATAAATTACGGCAAAAAATATTCTTAAGTTGTTTCGTAAGAAATATACTTGGTGTGTAATTTGAAATGATAATGTTAGACTATGTATAAAATGACGTAAATTCTTATCTGATAGATAAGTGAAACTGTGATACTCTTTATTGACTGTATTGCTTGTTCATTATTTCTATTACTAACAACACTACCAAAGGTGAACCGTTTTAAAGATATTAAGAATATCGTTAGTAAACAGGTTATAAAAAAATATGGATAACGCTAAATTTTTAAAGATAATTGCTGCTATTTTAGCGGTAAGTTTTAAACTTTTAGTTATATGTAAATTGTATTTGTCAAAATTATTATACTTATAACATTTTACAGTAAATAATAACTTTTATAATAATAACAACTTCGCGAAGTTTGTTATTATAAGTAGACTACTAATTAAATAATTAAACATTTGAAACAAAGGACAGTGCAAAGGAGCCAAGTATTTAATCGAAATAGCCCACTAGTGGCAGAGTGGATAAAACCATTGAACACTGTTCGTGAGTTCGCGCCTCGCCAACAGGCTGGACACATGGAGTTTCGGGGTTTCTTCACGTTTGTAACACTCTTAAAGAAGGGTCAATTTCCCATAAAAGTATTCCCGGGAAGCAACCTCTCTCGGCAGATCGCCCACGTCTCGCGTTACCGTAACCAAATCAATCATGTAAACTATTTAATCGAAATAATTGATTTAGAGAAATACAAAATAATAATAATAATAATAAATCTGGCGAATAAAACACACAAATAACGAAATAATAAAAATGATTTAAAACAGTTTTACATGCAAATAAATGTATAAAGCATCCCTAGTGTTTAATTGGTAATAGGTTAATGTTTAATTGTATATCTTTGATATAAAAAAATACAGAAAAAATCATTTTGTATTTGTTTTCTTATTGTGCATACATATATATATTAAAAAGTAATCGTTATGATTGTATATATAGGCTATATATATATGATAGAATAATCAGTTATTTCATTTAATTTTTTTGACATTTTCGAGAATATTTACATCTAGGCTATTTGTTGTATGTATGGGAAGTATATTTTGCAAATTTTTGCTAACATGAAGTATTGTGATTTATCAATTTAACAGTTTCAATTAGATAAATTTTTTTTCTTCTTTTAAAATAATCTTGAAAAAATATATTTAAAAGAATTTAATTTATAAATCGAATAATTACAAAGCTGTTTGTTTTTTCCATTTTAATAAAAAAACCATTAAATTTAATTGTAAAGTTTTTTTATCCATAAGAGCTATGGCTGTTATATTACAATGTATAAGTATTCTCCGATTTATATTTAATATCAATGTATAATTGTAAACCTGCATAATCTGGTTGTTTCCTACTCGGTTGAAACCGATGCCATATACTATTTTAGTATCTGAGGCAAGACTGACTTTAATTTATTAAGAAAAAATGAAATTTGGAACATTTTTTTAAAATTCTTTTCATAAAAATTAAGAAACTTTAAAATTTAAATAATTTCAAATTTTAAATAATTTAAAATTGAAAATTTAATTAAAAATGAAATTAAAGAAAAAAATTGAAAAAAAGCAAAACACGGAGGCATTTTTCAACCATTATAGTGTTTTACTTTTTTCAAGTTTGTTTAAATACCGTAAGATGTCTTTAACATAGACTTTAACATTTAACATAATCATAATTTTATGTATGTAATGTGTTTTCTAAATCTAAATCCTTTTCATTTTGTATAATACATACATGTCATATACATAAACATATTATATATATATAATACATATCGTCAGTGTACTTTAATAGAGCGCGTGTCAAAAAGTGTAAATTTCTAGGAAAGCCAAAAAACTTTTAATTTTATTTATAATACTATGTATGTGTTACTGTTAAGGAGGAAATTTTTTCATTTCTATTGGTTCCTTGCTTACTTATTGCAGGACACGAAAACTTGGTATTTTAATTACAACAATATCAAAATCGAATTTTTTTCACATAAGTTCTTTTGCAGTAACGCCAACGATATCATGAAGTTTAAACGATAAAATGAGTTATCAACAGATCTAATGACTTCTAAAAAAACTATTTAAAACTACTGTATTCTAAAAACCTGAATTAAGTACTTCTTTAAATTATTTAAAGATTTAAATAATTTTGGTATTTAAATAAGATGTCTTTAGTATAAAATTTAACATTTAATAAATTTAATAAATAAAATATGCACAATGTACGAGTATTTCAAGATAAATTCGGTAGAAATCATGTAATTTGTTTCCATTAGACATTTTTGTATAATGCAAATAATACTGTAACTAAATCTATATCAAACTTGTTTACATAGCCTAGTCTCTGTCTATTCACATTATTATTGGTTATGTTTTCACATATGAATAAAAAACAATAAATATTGTTCAATTTTTTTTATTTTGCCATTTCAGATATTAGGTTTGGCTACAGCCGGAGTATGCATCTGGATTCTTGCAGATCCGTTAAAATTTCTGAATCCTGGATATTCTCCTAAAATTGCAATCGCTGCAGCAGTATTGATGAGTCTGGTAGGAATTGCAACAGTTATCCTGCCCGTGAATACAAGCGAACGCATTTTCCTTGTGAGTAGAATAATTTTTAAAGTATCGATTTGTTTATTACTGTTAGGACTACACTTAGCTTAAAATGGGCATACATTTGTCCGCAAAATCTTTTAAAATAATCAATAATTTGGTTTTGTTTTATATTTCAGAGTTCTGGTTTAACATTTGTGGCATTGGGATTATCTCTCACGTCTTTATCTATAGCAATCAGTGAGATTTCTGGCAATTACCCATCGATTGTAAGAGTTGCTTATGACATTAAATTTTTAAATTTCATAATGTAGAAATACTAATTTTCGTTTTGTAAATAAGATAATTTAGAAGTTATATGTTTTGTAATTATATAAAATTACAAGTTTACGAGAATTGAAAAAAATTAATCAACAGTTTTTCTTCAGATAAAATCTAAGATTTTACGTTAATACATATTCTATTTACTTTCCCTATTATAAATTTTAAGATATTCTATTCATAATAAATTTTAATAATAAAAATGTTTTTAAATTATTATTCAAGGATATTATAAAATCATATTATAGAAGAATGAAGATAGTGGCTGGCTTTTCTGGATGCGATGCAGCAATTATAGTTAGTAACTTTTAAATTTTTTCTTTTTATATTATTTTGCATAAAATAAAATTTTCATCATTAATATATTTTCAGATTTTGGCACTTTGCGGTTTCTTTGTGAATCGTGCATAATGATAATTCGATTGCTGTGATTAGTGATTTCTTGTTGTCAAGGAAACAGTGAATTTTAGGATTTCATTGAATATCTAAAATNCTTTTAAATTTTTTCTGTTTATATTATTTTGCATAAAATAAAATTTTCATCATTAATATATTTTCAGATTTTGGCACTTTGCGGTTTCTTTGTGAATCGTGCATGATGATAATACGATTTCTGTGATTAGTGATTTCTTGTTGTCAAGGAAACAGTGAATTTTAGGATTTCATTGAATATCTAAAATAATTAACTGAAATATAATTACGGCATTTTTAAGTAATTCACTTCTAATTTAACAAATTATTTACATTTATGTACTGTAATAATTTCAAATTTAGTGTATCATAATTGTATGACGCATTTATTTTGTTAGAAATTTTTATATGAAGATAAACAGAATTTAAAAAGTATAAAGTTAATTTACAAACTGTTTATTGTCAATATCTTATTTGATTATTATTATTATCAAATGTAATTATTTCAATTTTCAAATTGCACTATATTTGTAAAATCTTTACAATATGGAAACATTAAGTTATAATGCTTGGTAGTTTTGCAAAGTACATGCATTAACATGTCTAATTCTGCTTAATTAAAAGTACTGTATGGAAAAATTATTCCAAATTCTTCTATGAGGAGTTGCCTCTAGAGTTTGTGGGGGCACGGAATCGACGATTTTTCGTGTCTTTTGCCTGCTAAATTGTCAAAGCCATTCTTATTCCGCACACTAATTTCATTTGAAAATAGTAGGCTAGGCCAACAAAACAATTTTTGCATTTTTATGCATTTACAGAGCCATTTTATCGTGAAAATGTCGAACAAATTTTTTTATTGAAGTGTTTTTATTTAACATAGGCATTAGACTTTCTCTTTTAATGATGTTTTCTTTTTCATTATATGATCTCGAGCCAAAACTTTTTTAAAATAAATTTTCAATATTGCAATAACAATATTGCTACTAATTTCTTGTCTTATTCACCAAGAATGACAGGTTGCCAGCTAGATATCATCGTAAACATAATTAAGTTAGCGATATTAATGATTTATTGATAAGGAAATGATTCAAAATATTTTTTCAAACAATTTTACAACTTATTTAATAAAACAAAAATGTGAGGCTCTGGACAAGTCCGAACACTCACTAAAATTCGCGTTAAAATAATTTTTTTAAAGAAAAAATATAGTAGTTAGAAATAGATTTTGTGTATGAAAACGCGACTCCTACTTTTAAACAATAGAAGAATTCGAAACCTTTCGGGGGCGCGGGAGAAGCCTCCCGAAAGATTTCGAATTGTCATCAGGTGATAAGGAGAGACCAATCGGAAAGTGGAATAGGAGGAAAACGGATAAAACCCCGGACATTCAAGGACGCGATGGCTTCTTCTCCCGAAAGTTCCAAGTGACGATCTATTGTCGTGTGTGTGTCTCGCACCCATCGTCTCCATCTCCGACCTCGGATCGACATCTTTCCATCAACGGAAGTCGACCGCATCCTCGCGGAGTCGTCAAGACGTCGATGAAGTGTTCATTCGCGAACAAAACACACTCCTTCAAAATGGGACTATCTTGGAAAGGAGAGGAAGACCCAGAGGCTGCAGCCGACGTAGAACTTCCAAGATCGCGGAAATCTTGCAAGCTTCTTTCGTGTTTAATAAACGGGTTGTGTTGTTTGTAAACGAGGCATTTATCTCTGACACAACTGCTTCCACATGTTGATTGTTACCGCTCGGTAGTCCAGACGGCAAGGGAGACGATGACGATATATATCGCATATTATCGTTAATTGAGTTTTTTATTTCTCCCCCTCGGCCCCCCACAAAAACATACAGTAGACCTATACACAAAAGTAAAGCTTTATTGTTCAAGAATCGACTGCACTTACTGTACTGTACTGTTAAGCCATTTTATGCCTTAACGAATTTGAATTAGTTCTGACGCTCAGCATACCATTTTAAATAGAAAAAGTTAACAACGAAGATATTTTTAATTTGATGCTAATATTTGTATTCCTGACGTAAATTTTTACTAATGGCTAATGATTTAATAGTAATAATATAGATATTATTACTATTAAATCATTTACATTATATTATCATATTCACACAAGTGCATACATACATGTGGATATGTATAAAAATAATGTTATGAAAAAAGTAAAATTTTATTAACAGTAGTCTAATACATTTGTATACATACATGATTACTTGTAATAATTTTCTTCATATATAGATAGTAGATCTTAAATTAATTAAAAAAAGAAAAATTATGAAAAAATAATAATTTTTGGTTTTGTTGGTTTAATGTTTTGAAGTAATTCATCTGTATCAATTGTACTCGTATATGCAATTCCATATTATTGCCAAGCCAGTGAGTCATTTCTGAGCCATCGTCTACGATGGCTCAGAAATGACTCACTGGCGAAGGAACGTTTTTATAAGTTTTAATTTTGGAACTCACTGGCGAGGGAACGTTTTTGTAAGTGTTAATTTTGAAAAATTCCTTTCTGAACTTGCTATTGGCAATGTCGCAAAAATTCTGCGAAATAAACGTATTTGGAACATTATTTTCTAAATTATTTTTGCATATATATGACAGGATATCTAATGACTAGGAATTCGCCTTGCTATTATTTATAATTTACTAGATAACTCTTTTCCGTCAAAATCTCTAGAATTGTCATGTTTTATGTAATTTTCCAATGTCAAGCATTTTTAAGCAGTTTTGTTAAGGTAGTGTTTTGCAATTAATACATATTTAAAAGAAAATCAAACTTTTCATTAATTGTATATGTGCTTGAATTTTTCATCAACAAATGCAATTTCAGTATCAATAGTTTAAAACTAAAAAGTTTACCTTAAAACTTAGATTTTTTTTGTTTTTAGTTTCATTTTTAAGAATACGTAAATTAAATCAAAGTACTAAATGTATTTATTTATATTATAATATTCAAATAATATTTTTAATATTGAATTAAATAACGTTTTTCCAGAATTAAAAAATCGAAAACATTTCGTAGTTGTGGAAAAATTGATTGAACTTTCTCTAGTATCTCTGTGGTACGTAAAGAAGATGGCCAAAGATGCTGCAAAAAACACAAAGGCCATAAATGAAAGGATGGAAATGTTAATAGAGTAGTTTCGTTTATTTTTCTTTAACTTCGTTGTAAAATTCATTAGACTTTGCCTTCCCGCTTTTGCATGAACGCAACTGGAGGGAAAACAAGAACAGTAGACCTACTCCTGTAGTCAGGTACCATTAATTCGCTTGATTTTCTTCATCTGCTGTTTTTATCTTGGGTCTGCATAAACGCAGCCTGAGATAGATGATGAAAATCGCGATTATATACGGAAAGCTTACTGATCAAAGACCCCAATTAACTGTATACAAACTTGCCATCGTGACCAGAAGTCACGTGATTATTTTACGAAGATTAAAATAATCACGCGACTTCTGAATTCCGAAGAAATTAAAAAAATGATTAAAAATTGCAGCTTGGCGTTGTGACGATGTCACAATAATATAGGCTTCTATACGATTTTCTTTCGTTTAGCTAAGTGCCACACTATTGCACCACTGAAGAAATTTTCGATTATAATTTTCCAAAATAGAGGGCGCTATGATGTCTTCGATATTAATTACAGTATTAAAGTCCTAGATATACAAGTAGTGACAACCTTTTTCGTGACATATTAGAGGTTATAAAAATCTTTACTTTTTAGAGTCCTGCCACAAATAGGCTACATATTGATCATTTGTGACATGCCATAACGAGCAGAAATTTAAAAAAATAATAATAATAAGTAGGTTTAAAATTAATAAATACAAATATATTCTGACAATTTATGAGTTAATTATACGTTCTATTTGCAAAATTTCCTTAACCTTAACACAAAATAAAAAAAAAAAAAAAAAACTTTTAAGAAGTTGTTTGAACAAATAGAGGTATTATTTGAATATTAACAATAATTTTTAAGAAGTATAATTATTATATTTGTTGTTTGCAAGATCCTGTCCCTAAATTTGAATTAAAGCATGATCAATCTCCACAATATCACATAGAATTAAATCAGAAGTTTGTTGGAAAAGCAATAGAAAGAGGATCCCCCTTTAAAAATTGGGAAGAGGATGTGACAGTAAATTTGTTTAAAAGGACAAATCTAATGCCACAAAAACCAAATATAAAAACTGTAAGTATTGTATAATATTAAAATAATTATTACACATTATATTGAAAGTATGCAAACATGACTCTTAGCATTTATACTTTCTATTTTAATAAATGCAATATATAAACTCACTTTATTTTATTACTTACATTGTTTATTTTTACTTATAAATATTTTGGAATTTTTTACATGATTTAAATTATTTATTGGATTGAATTTTCAAAAATAATTTCCTTTTTTATACACTAATGTACAGTACATGTTATATGGTTGACTAGTTAAATAAAATAATAGTTGTAAAATTACTCGTATAAAATAAATTGAAACTTAATTTTGATAATTCACTAATATAAATGGTGATCTAGAAACACTCAAAAAATTGCAAAGATAAGTTAAATCACATAGAAAACATAGATAGAAAAAGATAGCTGAGTACAGTAGAGTCTCAAAAACTCGGCACTCGATAACCCGGCAGTCTGGATAACGCGGCCACATTCTGGCAGGGCAAAAAAATCCTTAGTTAATTAATTTTCATTATAGACAGCTTTATGCCTCATAAAGTATTTTTCTGAGGTCTGTCTTATCAGGTAAATTACTGTACACAGTGTATTCATTAATTTTCATTTTCATGTAGTAAAGGCTCTATGCCTTCATAAAG